TTTTGGTTTCGTTGAGAACGTGTTCTTGCCAGCGTTCTCTGTTCCATCGTGTTGACTCATAAGACATGACCCAATCTACTCACGGATACTCTGAGTCGTGGGAGGAACTGTAACGCTTTCAAGAATTCGCTCATCTGCAAGACTGAAGTCATGCATTTCAATGTCATCAAGCAGCCATTGGTAGGCGCGATACTGGGCTGACTCCAACTCATCCAGCATCGCCTTTGTGTAGTTAGGGAATAACTGAAGAGCAATATCACCCTGTCGCCAATGAGAAGGGGACATTGAAGGTGAAGCTGATGGGGACACTGTAGGGACAGGCCCTGCAATGTCAGTCTTTTGACCTCTTGATAGCATGAATAGTATGATTAGGAGAACAAGTCCTAGAACCATCATAAAGAAAGCAAGAGACAGAGCTCCCATTCGTGTGAACTGTCTTTCTCTCTGCTTTCTGTGTCCCATCTGTGCTTCGAGGTCTTCTGGTGCGGCCTCGGGAATGGTGATGTCACGATCATTGCTGACAATCTTCGCTACTGGAATGTCCCTGTCAAAGAAAGAGCTGTTACTGCTCGCCGTAGTCAGACCACTATCCAATGACAGTACTCCAGATTGATGCTCACTCTGTGGCAATTGATCTACACCATTGGAGCCGTTGTTGTTGGCCCCAGATGGAGCCAACGCATACGCGCCTGGCAAGCTGTGTGATCGTCCGCTGGAATTGGCTTGCATTCCATGCTTCATGCTGGAGCTGCCAACCACAGCGGAAGGGTTGCTTGCGTCATTGTTCTCGTCCGTGGGCAACCCTATTGCTGGCCCGGTGCATTGATCGCTTGATGTAGACTGATCATGTGCTTGTTCGAGTGGTCTGTTGGTTGACGCATCTGCCATACAGGAAAGATTGTTTGCACTAATTTTATTGTCCATCAGCAAAAAATGATCATGTGCATGATTTGTGGGCTCATCGTAGTCGCACTCGGCTGTCTTTGTGGCAGGGGTTGAAGAAGGCCTTATCATATGGTGCTGGTTCTGATGCAATTCTTCGGTCTCGCCCAGACGAGCAGCAACAAGTTTTGACAGTCTCAAATCCTCACTCCCATCAACCCAGTCCAGGTCCATTGGAAATGCTGGATCAACTTCCTCTTCTGACACCACTCCTTCGCGGTCAGCGATGGGAAGCTGTTCGGTATTGTTGTGGTCCATGTCGAAAGCTGCTGCTGGTGTTGATGTTGTGATTCGAGCAGCAACAAGTTTTGACAGCCTCAAATCCTCACTCCCGGCAACCATGTCCAGGTCGGTTGGAAAGGCTGGATCAAATGCCTCTCCTTTTTCTGACACGACTCCTTCGCAGTCAGTGGCTGGAAACTCCTTTGTATTCTTGTGATCCATGTTTGAAAGCTGCTACTGATGTTTGTTAGGTTTCAGTCTGAGGAGACCACGAATTGTGAGAGCACTAAATTCCGAGATAGCATTCAATGGATTGAGATTCGAGTGGTTCTGAAAGGAAGTGGCAATTCCACGACGAAGTTTCAAGTTCAATCCGATGTGTGATTAGATGGATTACAATAGTTTTGGATCGCACATCAGGACATCCGACGGCTTTCTGTACGAGGACACGAGGACACGAGGACCCACACGAATACAGCATGGCAGACATTTTTCGCAACCAACTAACCGAAGCAAGCATCGAAGCTGCATCGATTAGAAGTCAGTTCCTGCAGCTGTTCTCCTCTTCCCTCAAAAGTACGGTACCATACCAGGTACTGTCAATTCTACTCAGACTGTCATCGAGAGATGAAACAGTTGCAAGGAAGGGGGAATTTGTATCTATTTAATTAACTGACGCTTTACTCTGACAGTGAAGTCGCGCCAAGCAAATAAATTATTGCCTTGATAAATTAAAACGCTGTCAGAAGCGGCACTGATAATGAAGAAGAGCCACAGCAAAGTGGAAAAGCGGCTCCAACACACATTAGCATCCAAGTTACTGAGTACCGGTAGTTGCCACCACTAAACTACCATGTACCGCTTAACCTCGGCAGTCTTGCTGCCAGAGCCCTCAACCCCTTTAATTGTTTTTCCTGCTACGGTGGTCCCTGCAGGTATAAGGGTAGGGTTAGAATACAAATAAGTCAGCAAAAACTAAATAAGTATCCTAGGATGGTGCTTTTACACCAGCTAAAGCTATTTACATGCAATCTAGTAGGGGGATCTGCTTCTACCAGGAAAAACTCTAAAGCCAGCGAAAGCTATATAACTAGTATTCTAGCTAGCTAGGGTATCTACTTCTAGCTTGCTATGGGAATCTGCTTCTAGCTAGGGGGAATCTGCTTCTAGCTAGCTAAGCGCAAGTTAAGCACTAGCTAAGCACTAGAGGTATCTGCTTCTAGCTAGCTAGCTAATAGGGGTATCTGCTTCTACACTGAAACCTTTCTGCCGAGGTTATACAGCTCCGCTGGCTTATTTGCTGGGTTAGGGAACATGCGGCGCCGTCGGTTGCCGAGACAAATCCGGCCATTGCCCCTGCCCCACTCCTCGAATCTAGGACCCCCACAGTCCCGTGATTGCATCAATTTTCACTGGGTGACGATCGTTCTAGGCGCGTCGCGCGTAGGCCTGGTACAAACTTCTGGATGTCAGAAAAACAACGGCTGCCGCCACCACTCGATTCTCTAAGTCCTTCCCTTCAGAGTCCACGCTCCGAGATCTTCAATTCAGATTGTCCGTGGAGAATACCATTGCCCTTGGCGAGCGCATCAAGAACAAGACTGTCTATTTGTCATGCGACAAGGGAAACAAGAAGGGTGTCAGTCACTTCGTGAAGATGTTGTCTTGGTTCGAAGATGGTGGTGTGGTCGTTCAATGTCTTGACATTGATGCAAGCGACGGACTGTCAGAGGATCATGCATTGGCACTGGTAGCATCATTCAAGAAAGTTGCTCTCAAGAGAGTACATGGATGCACTACTGACAGTGGAGGTGGTGGTACCACTGATGACTTGTACAAGAAGATGAAAGCGAAAGACTTGTGTTCCCCCATGAACTACCTTGTCTCTTCATGCGCTATTCACAATCTTCAGTTGTCCCTCTCTGTTCCGGTCAAGGAGCTCATTGGGGAAGGTGGTTTGGACAAGAAGAACGCGATGCAGATGTTGCATTCCGTGTATGACTTGCAAGACAGTATGGATGCCGCGATGTGGAAGATGCATGTGGCTGAGGCTACTGTTTTTGTCCAAACCTACACGGACACCCCTTACATTGGTACTACAGTGGCGGACATACAGTTCCAGGAGAAGTGGGAAAAGGTGTTGCTGTTCTGTGACTTCGCTCCTCCCTCAGAGAAGATGGCGAAGAAGTTCATCTTGATGATACCCAAACCAGTCATGACGCGATGGTGGACTGTTGGCGAAACTTCCCGTGTCACAATGGAGAACTATCTTGTTCTCTTCCGCATCAGTCAGCAGGCCATTAACTGTTCCTCTACCAGCGATGGCAAGTCCAACAAGATTGCGTCCGGTCTACAGGCGCTCATGTGTGAGCAGGAGGTATTCTCGGACATGACACTCATTGTTGACTTCCACGGCTCTTACTTGTGCCCTAACTTCAAGTGGTTACAGGTGTCCAAAGACTTGAGCGGCGTTGAAGGCTTCCAGACACACCAGATGTTGGTCCGCTACTACATCATTGAGGAGGACTTGCTGCAACTGAAGAAGACATTGGAAGCGCCCCTTACCAACGATGGATTTGCCTTGTTCCACCATGGCCTACAGAAGTGTCCAGCCCACCTTCGCCAGTACCAGAGCACCAAGGCACAACGTTTCGTTGACTTGGCATTAAGGTCTGTGCACAAACACTTTGTCCGATGGTCCAACCCATCTCTTCTTCCAGCCGGACTACTTGCAGAGCGGCCATTGGCAGAGGTTGTGGCAACTGTCATGTTGAAGAAGGAGGAATTCACTGTGTCCGGGATGTCATGGATGTACTCAGAAGTACATGAGCGGCACATCAAGCTATCACAGTTCTATGACTTTGTGAAAAGAGTGGTTGGAAACCAAGATGGGATTACTTATGCGCCTATGTCTACCTACATCGCGGAGATGATGATGTCCCCTGACCATGACATTGACTTGCGCGATGACCAAGAGCCTGACGCCTATTGTCTCTTCATGAAGAACACCTATCTACCGCTTGCATGCCATACACAGTTTGTTGAAGTTGGAGTCAAGGAGGCAAAGAATGTCTCCACTACTGACCGGTCGGAACAGTTGAGAAGCGCCTATGCCATCAACAGAGCAGCCAACTACCTTCCCATCGGCAACTTGAAGACGATTGGAGCCACCAAGAAAACAGAAGAACTTCTTCGTGCTGCCAAGAAACATTCTGAGAAGTGTTATCGGAATTGCAAGAACGGCATGAGCTCACGGCCCGTCAAACCTGGAACTCCAGTCATGCGCGAACAAGTTCAAGCATGAGCGCCATGAAGAGTCCTGCAAGAACAAGCATGGCCAAGATCAACTAAGAACAAGAAGAAAACAAGAAGCAAAAGGATGTGTGTGGTGCGAACTGCAAACATGATGGATCTTACTTTATATTCCTCTATGAGGAAGGACAAGCACATGATCCCTCTCAAGGAGGAGCTCTTGTTCGCGGCTTCAAGGAAGAGGACATTGATTGGGTGGAAGGTCAGGGAGCGCACCAAGAAGGTCAAAGAGCATGAATTGGAGAGAGTGGAAGAACTCAAGGCAACATGTCTGCTGCTCAAACTTGCTTCAAGATCCTTTCTGGTGCCATTTTCGACAATGTCTAAGCAGGAGTCCCCTTTGCATATGGGTAAGTGAAGGCATCCTTGGTCGCAACAGCAACAAACGCATCACCAACACTCACGAAATTTGTTTTTGCTCCATGGTCGGCACAAACTGTGTCAATATTTCTGATTTTCAAACTGGCTGCCATGTCCTCTCTGTTGCCATTTACCTTCAATGTCTCACCAGGGTCACTCCGGCATACACTTTTTGGTCTCTTTTGGCTTGGTTCTCTATGGCGAGGAGGCTTCCAATGTGTCCCAACAGGCAAAAGTCCGCTTTTGGGTGACACATGTGCTGCGCCACAACAGCCAAAAATGGATTTTCACTTCTCCTATTCCATATTACACAAAACAAACCAGGTGCGCATACGCGACCATGTGCGGATTACAAATACATGTGGTCCTTACAGTTTTAAAACACTCTACATAGCCAACTTCGCCATATTCTGTTGCTTGTCATGTCGGTCTTTTTTTGTTGTCGGAA